AGAACATGAAAAGCTGCTTCCCTTATATGTAATTGTAAAAACGCCCATAAAACTGCAAGACACAAAGTGTGAATCCGCAAATTTGCATGTATCTCTCCATGGATCCAATAAACCTTCATGCCCAATTTGGTGAAGATCCATTTATAGGGGGTTAAGTTATGGTAAAAAATCGCAAAAATGCCCATAAAAACCCATACAAACTGCTCTTGCTCGGATTAGTAGTTACAATTAATGTATCAGAACTCAGTTTTTATAGTGAACTTTTGATTTTAATAACCACTAACTCTGCTGATTTTGGCGTGAAAGAATTAAGATTCCTGTGAGCCAAGCCATGTTATCATGATGTTCAGATGTTCTTGGTTATATATCATACGATAATACTAAAATACCAACATTAGTTTGTAAACAATAGTCAATATACAAAAGCGATTATTCTAAACAGTAACTTAAAGAAGCAGAGAATATATACGTCTTCGCGGAAGAACAAATAGGTCATCAATATGGATTGCATTTTACCAACTGTTTGCAGATGAAGAATGAAGATGAAGAGGTAAATGCAGATTAGAGATCCTTGAATGTAACAAAGAATTATATGTTGTTTTGAATTCAAAACACGTAGTTATGCTAATATAAGAAAAAAAAAGGGTTTAGTATACGGAGGGGGGGTCTATAAGCTGTTGTAGTCCCATAATAGAGAAAATTGAAAGTTTACCAGTCGTCTTATGTACGATATAATGTACTGTTCTGTTAAGAGTGGTTCATCAGTGTTACGTGGATGGGCTTTCAACCAAATGATTGGTTGTAATTAAGCACAAGGCTATACAATTGGCTATCTGTGCTCTGCCCACCACGAGTATAGAAACCCGGTTTCTAGTATTGTAAGTCCGCAGACATGCCGCTGTGCCACTGAGGGGCTCAACTAAATGAACACCTTTGAAACTCTAAACTTTCTGACAACTCTATGAGACGGTAAGAAGAAGAACATCTTTGTATACCTTGGCCACACCTCAACGTCTAATCTTTGATTCTATTACTTCAGTTGATATTGTGGTGTTATCATGATTAAATAAATGAAAACAATAATATAAATATTTTCTTATCTTATACTTCATTTTACTGCTTTTAGCATTCTGAATTATTTAGGTTTACGTGCGGTTGGGTTCTTTATTCTTTCTTTGATTTTATTAATGGGCAACTATCTTCTCATAATTGGCTGCAGACAGTTTGGTTGAGAACATTATGGGTTCAAATACCTAAACCATGCCCTCTGATAATTTCATATTTGTTCATCTGTTGCTGCACAGCATATTCTTACCAGCGTTGAAATATCATTGAAGAAACAGACTATCTTCAACACTTTTTCAATGCTAGTATGAAGTTATACATTTCTCATGACTTTATGGTTTTTTACATTCATTTTTATTTCTGTATGATTTGTCTTTGCTCATATTGAGATTACATGTCAAGATTTCACATATCTATATAAATAAACGTCAATATGTGTGTGTGTATCTGTTCCTTATACGTTTCCACATTTCTTGATCAGTCAGCACCAAACCTGACACAATGATACAGGAAGGTCATGAGGGGGTTAGATCCCCCATCTAATTTCATACTGATAGAATTATTGTAAACAATATGTCTTTCTTTTCAGTATTGGTACATTTATGTATTTTTATTGCACTTTCAATGTTTATTCTATAGAAATATGGAAGCATAATTTCCTATCCTTTGTTACAAACGAGTTTTTATTTATTTTATTAATGACAATCAAGCTTTCAATTCCACGTTGATAGAAGGAAGCTTCCTCCGAGACAAAGAATTCTGCAAGAGCAGTTTTGATGCCATTTATATTTCTGAAAGTATTATCACTGAGAAAGTGCTGCAGACATTTGAATAAATGGTAATCTGAAGGGGTAATGTCAGGGGAGTATGGAGGGTGAGACAGAACTTCCAAATCCAAATCTATGATCTTGCTCTAAATCATTCTTGCAGAATGTAGTCTCGTATTATGATGCTGCAGAATGATCATTTTTCTGTTGATCAGTGCTGGACGTTTCTCAATGAGGGCATGGTGCAAATGGTCTAATTTTTGACAATAAAGGTTTGCAGTTATAGTCCGATTCGATTTCAATAACTCAAAGTGAATTATGCCGACTCTGTCCCACCAAACGGACAGCAAGACTTTCTGCGGGTGTAGACATAGTTTGGCTGTCGAAATTGGGTTCAGGACAGGGCTAAGCGACTGGTTCTTACGCTTGGTGTTGACATTAATAATCCATTTTTCATCTTCTGTAACAATCCGATGAGGAAATGGTTCTTTCCCATGTCTGGATATCAATGAATTGCACATTGTTATGCTTTGGACTTTTTGTCATCTGACAGTTTGTGTGGAATCCTAACTCCTTGTATATTGACCTTCCCGATCTGTCTAAGATGTTCTTGAACTCTAGACCAAGAAGAATTAAGTTTTTCTGACAATTGCTGGATGGGTCTGATTCAACCTCTTACCTCAGGAGGTCATTGTCCAACTCTATTGGTCTTCTGAACGATGGCAATCTGAGAGATCAAAATCACCTGACCTAAATTTTCTAAACCACCGCTGACATTTGCGGACACTCAAAGCATCTTTATAAACTCCACATATGTTTTGGGTTGCCTCCTTTGCCTTGTTACCTATATAAAATACATAGAGCATGCAATGTCGAATGTGATTCTCGTTAGGAATGAGTCAGCCATTTTTTTCTGATTAGAAGAAAAATATTTTTGTTAACAGAAAATTGATTACCAAGAATGGTTATTTTGCTTGCTAAACCAAAATCACCAGAAAATAAAAGAAAGCACATAATTAGAATCGTTTAAGTTTAACGTAACAAAAACGACATTACTTTCTGGTACCCATAATAGTTTGTATATATTTCAAATTATTGGCTAATATAAACTTCTCTACGATAATGATATAGTATTTTTATTCTCTAGTAATTGAAACCGTGTTTGCTCATATGGTTATATTAAAACTATATCTTTGTACATTCTAGTTAAAATTGTGTAGTTTACAAATTTAATCTACTTGGAGACAAAAGGCTTGCTGGAGAGTGAGTGACATGTGAGAAGAGTATACAAGAAATGTAGTATTGCATACCACAAGTTTAAAATCTCTAATAAACTTATTGAGGTGCAGGTGAGCAGTATAACCTGCTGTGTTGTATGATGTTTAATATGAACTTTCTTTGACGTTTTTATCCTGAAAGTTTTAGGTTTATATGTAGTTGTGTTGTTTATTCTTTTTTTGACTTCATTAACTGGCTGCATCCGGTGAATGTGTAGTTTGATTGAGGACATTATCGGTTCAAACACCTGAACCAGAAACTCTAATAATTTCAGATTTGTTCATCTATTGTTGAACATCAGATTCTTACCCGAACTATTTTATAACTGAAGAGATGGACTATTTTATTGCTAGTCCGCAGCTACACATCACTGATGACTATATAAGGCTTTGACTTTTTTTTGGCATGTCTTGTCTTTACGCTTACACAGGGTGACGTTAAGTTCTCATTTTGTAATTGCACATATATCATTACAATTATATACATATATATATATGCGTGAGTATATAGACTAGTTGATGTATCTGTTCAATGCACGGGGAAAGCACAGGGGCATATGTGGAGTGACAAAGAGGGGCACATCCTAAGGCCAATCTCCTGATGCTAGTTCTCGGGTTGTGCC